CGGCTAGGGGCAACAGCGCACGGAGAGCGCACCCGCCCCGTGCACGGCATTTTCACAGTCTTCAACGAATACGGGCAGGTCCAGTAGCATGCGCCTCTCGCCGTCCGTAGATATGTTTCGTTCGTTGTTTGAGCTTGTTTCCCCTGTGGTGTTTTCGTCGTAGGGGTGTTTGCGTGTTAGTCCTTAGGCCTTGTGCCGTGTTGCCGTGTGGTGTGTGCGAAATTGGTTCCACCTGGGTTCTCTCATGGAGCTTGAGCCGTGGTCCGATTTTCCACTCGCTGTGTTTCCTTCTTACATGCCTCTTGCCAGGTTTCGGCGCGCACAGAGGAACTGAAATGCATTTAAGCACGGAAGAAAAGGGTGTTCCCGCCCTGCCTTTGCAATGTCTGCCGTGGTTCATACACTGAAAGCTGAATTTTACTTGTTTATACGTAAAACGGGCATGGGGTTCCTGGTGTTCTTGTTGTATAAAACCGCCCAGCAATATGATGCAGGGAGGAACCGATTATTCTGTGGTAGTAGCTTGCACCTGAAGCGTGCGACACAGCAGTAGCGGTTACGCGTCATGGTTTCGGCGAGTCATATGTATTATGATGTTGATACCTTTTTTTTTCTCTGTATCTGTGGTTCGAAGCACGACACGACAAGGGGGCGAGAGTTTATGACTAATAGTTTCAAGAAGACGTCACGTTCTGATGGCGGCACGAAGAATACTCTTTTCCTGTAGAAAATAACACATGTTGTTGTTCTGAAGCTGCACACACGCGACAGAGAAAAGCTGCCATGTTTCGCGCAGACTGCAATTTTGCAGGCGTGTACAGCAACAAACTACAGTTTCCTTCGCGTAAACGGTTGTTTACTCGCTAATTTACCGCCAATAGGTGGCGATGGCCCTCCCATCGTGGAGAAAAATCGGGAAAAAAAGGAAGGTGCCAACAAACTTTGGCGCTGATGGGGATTGAACCCGCAACCTCGGGCACTGAATAACCACATATGGATTCCTTCTGTCAAACTTTAAGACAATGAAAGGACGCGTCATTCGAATACGCCTCTTCGTATTTTTTTCGCGCTTCGCGCGAAATAAATAGACTATAACTCGTTCCCGGGTTGCCCTACCCATGGTCGCTGAGCCGATCTCGCCGCATCCACCACTGCTGCCACATGCATCCCCATGGGCTTCTCCGTTCCTCTGACTGCTGACCTGCCCTACGAGCCTACGATCCTAGCACAGCACATCGCCACACGTGCGAGTGTAAGAGGACAGAGTGCTACCCTCGCACGCTATTCAATACCAAACAAAGATGATCCGGTTGGACACCAGTGTCCAAGACGATGTCAGGTTCGAAACGTGAAGACCGCTCTCGCGTTGATGGCTTCGAGATGAAAATATTCAAACTTGTCCAGGCGGAGGAGACTCCCGAGCAGTGGAAGAAGTGGCTTGGAGCACCTCTGAATCATGCCGCGGCGAAAGGGAAGCTGGATCTCTTCACACGGCTGATAAACGCTGGTGCTGATGGTAGCGCAGGCTGGCGGGGATGCCATGGACGAACACTACTGGGCGAGGCTGCGCGCAGCGACGGCAACCAGATGGTCCGGGCTTTCCTCGAAGCTGGAGCGACGGATGATGTAAACGTCCGCTTCGGGGCTATAAGCCAATCTGCTCTACAGGTTGCGGCCGCGCGAGGTGCTGAGGGCTCATGCAGCGCACTCATGATCGCTGGAGCAGACCCGAATTGGATTGATTACGATGACACCGTGCAACTACCGAGTCTGCTCCACCTCGCTGGCGCAGCGGGGCACCACCGAGTGGTACGTGTCATTCTTCAGTACGGGGCCTACGTAGATCCCAAGGCGATTGTTAACGAGACTCCTCTCCACTGTGCTGCTTCTAAGGGCCACACGTCGTGCGTCTTTGAGCTTTTGATGGGCGGCGCAGACATGGATGCGGTCGCTTTTTTGGAAGGTGAAACGCCACTGTTCATCGCGGCAGCACACAACCACCTGGGGGTTGCCGAACAGCTATTGGCTCCAGGTGCCGACCGTTGTCATCCCAACCTCGACGGCTTCTCTCCGTCCGACATTGCTGCAAAGCGTGGTCACGCGACCATCTTGAAGCCCTTTCTTGAAACAGGAACTAATGTCGACGCCGCCACCGATCAGTACGGATGGACAGCCCTACACAGCGCTGCATGTGTTGACGAACCTGTCATTGACGACGGCGCTGCTGCCCGTGTACTGTTGGAAGCTGGGGCTGATGTCAACGCGCGGGAGGGCTGCACGAGTGGCCAGAGGCAGGTTGTGCGTAGGTTAGGGCACCAACTACAACCTGAGAGGGGGGGGGTTGTAGGGAGGTTGCAGCCCAAAGTGTGCAAGTGATCCCGCATCTTGGATAGTGGCGTTATTGCAATCAACACGGCGGGCTGCAAGCCCGAAGAAAAAATGGGTCCGAGCTCGAGCTCGGTCTCCCAACCTCCCCCCCACCTGCCCAACCTGCCCCTCTGGCCACCAGTGTGTCATGGCGCCGCTTCATATTGCCCTTGACAACTGTGATCGTGTTGACTGTGATCGGGTTGCATCGATCGGCACGATTCGCGCGCTGTTGGAGGGAGGGGCCGACGTCAACGCGCGAAGGCCACCAGACGCCGCTGCACATGGCTTGCAAGCATTCGGATGCGGCGGCTGTGGAGCTTCTGCTGTGTTGGGGGGTAGATGAGAAGCTCACGAACGACGATGGAGACACTCCCGCAGAAGTTATAGGAGCATCGAGTTTAGGGTATTATTAACGACAAAAAAACCACGGCGCATTTCACGGAATCGTTTTTTCTTGAACATTTGGTCTATGGAGGCGTTTTGCCCCGAAAAACGTGGAAAGGAGCCGGGATTTTTGGGGACTTGCTACTTTCACGGATCCATGTTTTTGACAGAAGCATCGGACAAGCGCACCGCGGGCGCTGTAACATCACTGAGAACGCTAGAAAGACCTGCCAGACTCACATCCAGGTCTGTTGTGGAGATGGACAAGCGGCAGAAGCGGTGTTCAGTCCGTTCTTGGTCCACAAGCAGACATTGCGTAGTGCTCTCGGCTTCAGCTGCTGCTGTTGGTGCTGGGGAATTCTTTTCAATCACACATAGCAAACACGGAAACAGTAGAACGAGTACAGCAGCAGCACCAAGACCTCCTATGCGCTGATTCCTTCGGTTCGGCTGTCTATATGATACCATCTCCCAGCGCCGTGCTGCTTCGTGGGTATTGGGTGCTTGCGTGCTGCTCAACAAGGTGTGTGAGAGACGTGTGCCACCTCACCAAAATGCCGTTGGAAAAAATGCGGCGAGACGATCTCTTTTTGGTCGAACACGTCAACATCAACCCATGGCACCACGCAGCAGAAGAGCGACAGGGCCTCCGACACGCTAATTCTTTCGGATTGGCCATCTATACGATACTGGCCGTCAGCGCGGCTGCCGCCCTATGATTGTTGAGCTCGTCTACCATTGGGCAGTTGGTGGTCAAAGATGGGAGTTGCACCCGTGAAAAATGAGCTGGCAAACTGAAGAAGTCGTAAGCAACACCCAGGTCGCGACAGTCTGCCCTGTGCCTGATTGTTGCTGAAAACTGGAAGTAGCAGGCCGAGTGGATAGGACCTAAGTGTTATGTCCTCCATGTCGGGTGCTGCTCATTGCTCTTTTACCGCTGCTCTATGGTGAGCAACACCAAGTCAACCTGTTTTGTGCCGAGCAAAGCGTGTATTCAGGGAAGGAAACAAGCGAAAAGAAGTCGGGTTTTCTTTTCACCGTTCCGTGGAAAATTGAACAACTTTTGCCAAGCATTAATAACGAGCCTTATGCGACCCACATGAGCCGCGCCGAATCAGAAAACCAGCGCATTCTCCGAATGCTGGCACGCTCCCCAGCCGAAAGGTCATGGCGTCGCCACCGCTGGTTCGTGTTGAGTTGTTACAACCCGACCAGGGTGAAGATCGAGATCGAAAACGGGAGAAACAGGTATCAGCAAGGGTTGCTCCTCCGAGGTAGCGATGGTCACTTGCGAGGATTCCAGTCGGAATGATGGGGAGACGGAAGACCAGATGATGTTCGACTGGAGGGATTTGGAGGGCAGGCTGGTCGGACTGGGGTCTGACAGCGTGTTCCGCTTGGTGGTTGACTTTCTGTGAGGTACGATAACTGCCTTGCACAAGCACTTAACCCTCGGACAAGTTGTTTTTCTCCATCTACTTCTCACCATCGATTCCGCGCTCTTGACATATATAGACTATAGGAAATTGATCGCGGTCCAATACGTGTTGTTCACATATGGTGCATGCCCTGAAGCGTTTCGCGCAGCGGGTGGGTAAAAGTTTTGCAAATTCGATGCATTGGAAACACGTCGTACGGGGGTGCGAAACGACCGAAGTTTTTAAGCGGTTTTGGGCTGACCACGAAATATCTAGGGCTAGATCGTTGGTCGGTTACCCACGATAGCTTTTGCCTTTCGGGAGCGAGAGCCAACTACTACTGTGTCCTCCTCACGGTTTCGGTAATGTGCTGTGATTGGCTCTTGGGGTTTGCCGAACATCCTGAACCTATAAGCTCGTCGTGCTGCAGTTAACCATGCCGTTCATAATGCTAGCGGATGCGTCAAGTCATGACATCCAAAACGAGCGGGGACCCCATGCACTCAATTGGACAGCACCCATGTCGTGTACATTCCACCCTTCTGCCATTTCAACTTCCTCGGCCATTTCAACTCTCAGTAGCAGCGGTGGCGGTCGTTGCTGCTTCTTTGAGCTTCTTGTGTAACTTGGAGATAGAGCTCTCGAGCGCCCTCTGCTCTTCTTTGGCGAGTCGTAACTTCTCAGCGTGCTCTTGATCCGTAGCGACTTTTGAGTAGGCGATGCTTCTGCACAAAGCAAAAGGAGATGGAATAGGTCCCGGTTATCATTTGTTTCACATGGACACCAACCGACGCAAACGAGAGATGGTTGCATCCCATTGCTGGTTGCCGAGGTACACGCAGTAGTGGGACATGCGCCGGGGCTTGGCTGAAACCCTCCAGGGTAGTTCGGACTCTATCAAGTGAGATCGTCGTTTGATTTATTATTTCCACTTGAACGGAGCTCGCACTCATAGTAAAGTACGGCGAAAAGCAGAGAGCTCTGATACGGAGTGGGTCAAGTGCTGAAGATAAAGAAACGCGTACGAAGAGAACATACACTCTTTCACCTGTTCATGTAAGCAAGATTTGCCTCCAGCGATCTGACTTGCGCTTGAAGACCGCTGGTCTGGGACTGGAGTTTTCTCAACGCTGATTGGACACCGTCCAGCTCTTGCCGAGCGCCCTCCACATTTCTCCTCGAAAAGGCGACGCTATCCCTACAAAGTGTCATTGTTCGACGGTCCCACGCAGTTATGCAGGGTCGTGAGATGTATTCGCGCATCCACACCCGCGTCACGGCAGGTCTTCACTTGATATTACTGTGCTTCTATTTAAGATGCTGTGCAGTTATGTAGTGAACACCGACTTTTTCATTTGAGAAAGGCAAGAGGGCAACATGAGGCACCTGTATATCTCCGCGTAGGTGTCCAGATTCATGCGTGTTTCGTCGCGCAAACGTAGGAGTAGCAAACCTCGCTCTGGACTTTGAAGAGTTATCTGTGGAAAGAGGTTATGGGAGAGCGCTCGTGATTGCACAGCAGGACAAAACAGAAAACACGATAGCAATCGTCTTCAAATTTCGGTTCTTCGAGGTGTGTTGCCTCAATTTCAGGTCTGGATGCCGTAGTTGGTTTGATATGTTCGCGTAGCAACATCCAGGTAAGATTTGAAGTTGGGGGGTGGTTCACCTCGCGAATGACCTCGTCGTATAGCTCAGAGAATACGCTTTCGCGCACGGCGCACACCGCTCCTGGGCGCGCTTGCAGGGTGGTCAATCGGGCCTCTACTATGTTCTGGACCTTTTCGAGCTCCCCCCTCGTCCGCACGGTGCCGGAAACCTTTAGAGCAGCAACATGATTCAAGTATGTTGGAAGAGTGCACTGCCGAACGACTGCGGTATCAGGTACATACATGTCCTGCTTTTTTAAGGCTGCCCTCCAGAAGTACATGCACAGCAGGTAGGCATTTTGTCTACACATCGTCAATGTGCTTCAAAGACGACGTTTTATTCAATGAACTTGGCTTGAATTTGTCTCAAGTAAACGCATAATAGTCTGCTATAAACAGGTAGGGTGGTTACAGTTGAGCATGCGTGTTAGTGCGAAAACACCCATCATCACCACATTTAACCGCCTGGCTGACTCCTACAAGCGGTCGCCTCCACACTCCTGCAGGTCGTCCAGTCTAAACCGACCGCTCGAAGACACATGCAGATATGTTCCACACGAACGATGCACAACTAACTTTACTTCTGGACTGTAGTTCTCTGAATAAAATTCAATCATAAGAAGATGATGAAATTATCGCTACTCACCGTTTGAACCCATTCGCCCGCCACATCGGCGTACTCTTTGTTGGGCAGTATCGCTTTGAGAACGGCTGTGATGTCATCCCCGTCACCTCGGGGACGCCTTTTTGTGTTCCTCGCACTGCCGGGTGCTGCTGCGCCAACACCGGCGGGGCGTTGTGTGGCTTCGTCAGGCCGGCGCTCGTCAGAGGCGTATAGTGAAATGTACTGAGGGAGACTGTCGTGACCCATTCTCATGTCAAACGCGATATCGGGTCTGGCCAAAACCGGGTCTTCATATTTGAGGATGGAGAAGTCATGGTCCACCTCGTCGGCTGAACTACATGTTGGTCCAGCCGCGCTTTCCGCGGACGAAACAGCCTGTGATTTACAGCAGAGGGGAAAATGTTCAACGCACGTTGGCTGGTAACGGCTCAACGGCATATACATGTGTGTACTGCCTGTAGAGCACTCCGGTGTAGCAGCATGTCTTGCGTCATTTGTGGCGTGTTGTATGTATTGGAACAGTCAGATCATGTGTAGGTACTGCTGCTGCTGCAGTTTGCTTCCGTATATCCTGTGCTGCGTGTAAAAACACGTCTAGCCAGACCATCCCATAGTCTAACCTCAGTGAGGGCACCCAGCGGCAGGTCGCCTGAGGCAGACGGTGCAGGGATCATGGGAAAGACAAAGATACATCTGACGACGACGCCGGTCGGCGACACAAAAAACGTCACACGAATGCTGTGGCCTGTGGCCGGGAAATCCGGGGGGTCCGCGGGTTGTGAAACATCACCGATCCCCCCGCGTGAAGAGAGCTGCAGCAGCAGATAGAGGCAGCAACGAGGGGTAGCACAGCATAGCTCTTTCTTGCTCTGTGGTGCACCAACACAAGCATTCAACCACTGCCATGCGAGAGGGCGACCCGACCCTACTATCCGTAGTCCTGGAAGGATGAATGATGAAGCGAAGGTGAGTTCCTGACCTCATCGTATGCATTGGTAGTTGAGGTGCCTGTTACGCACATCAGCAGGTGCATATGCAGGCGAACTCACGTCGCTCTCGTGCTCCTGCCCACAATCATGGGACGTATCCGCAACACCCTCGAGAGAGGTTGGCGAAGACGACTAGCCCTTGCTGAAGGTGCGAAGGGAGGTAATAACAGTACACCAGAAGCGTGCAGCAGTGGAGTGCAAGGAGCACACCACACACCACCCCACCACAACAGCAGTCTTAACCGTCGACTCACCTTCGGGGTTAGCGTGTCACGGTAACATGATGAAGGCCAGCTCCGAGGACCCCCTCGCGGCCTTTCTATCTATATCATATCTCCTCCAACAAGCAGTGGTGACGATTCGTGAGCGCTGGCATGGTTTACCCCAAGTGCTTGTTGTTTTGCTTCCTCGCTTACCAAAGTTGTTGATACTCTTAAGTACAGCAGATGCTACCTGAATACTTCCTCACCAACAGCGGTGTCTTGATTGCTGTGGCGTGGTGAGTACGTGGATGCATATCACACCTCGTCGACCATGTACCCCTGCTGGGTGGTTCTCCTCATCTTGAAAGGGTTCACCTACAACGAACGTTGCTGCTCGTGGTGGTGCTCCTGCTCACCGGATTTGAAAATCCGTAAGCAGGTACTGTTCGACATGTTCCCGGACACCCCGCATCAAACCCTGGCCACCATATGGCGCAACTGCGGCGAGGACTTCTCCACTGCGTTGGACGAGGCCCTCACAGTTGCAAGTCTTGGCAACGCCGACGAACAGGGTGATTACAGTGCTGTGGTGTGCGTGAAGAGCTCGCATGACGCATGCGTGGACTTGACCTGATATTGAGTCATGAAGTGTACATTTATCACGCCGGCGTTGCACATGTACGGCTTCCACGTGTTGCACGTGACGCCGCACCCTATAAGCGTTGTTCTCAGTATGTTCCTGCGCAAAGGACTCGGCTGCGACTCACCAATGGCCACGTGACGTTTCTCGGCCATCTACTGTTCCTTGGCACGCTGCGGGATATCTTGTCTTCGGTCTCTAGACTTTTGTTTCGTACCCATGTGCATTCATTCATTCGCGTTTTTTCGCTTCGGTACCACCCGCTCTCGCTCCACTCTTGGTTCAGCTCGATTCGACGGGGGTGACTTTGCCGCGATAGAGGCACCTGCAGATTATTGGGAAGATGCGCCTGCGCTCCTACCCGCGCTGGGAGAACGCCGTTTTGTAGCGGAAACGAGCACGGGACCGGTGTCTTCCTCAAGGGCCCACGACACCGCTCCCGAAACTAGACGGCCGAGCGCAAATGGAGGAGTCACCTATGCAGACGCGGCGTCAGCGATGTCCCCGAAGGAAAACGGGCTGCCGAAACTGCCTTGGGAGGGCAAGGAAGAGCGGTACGTCATTGGCTCCGGAGAGCTCGGGCTCTTGAACGAGCTTCAGATGCCTAGGAGAGGGGCCATAGTGCCACTCCCCGTGGGTTTTCTCAGGGTACCCGGTGGTTTCTCCCAGCCCTCGACGCCGCCGGCGACGGCTGCAGAGCCGCTCATCGTCCTAGACCCCGATGGCAGATCAAGCGAGCCAAATCAAGTGTCCAGCCCCACTTTGGCATCCGTTCGCGGCAGTACTGTGTGGGACAGCGAGAGGGGAAGGGGAAACCCCGCCAGCAGCAGCCCGGGGGCCTCGTTCGGTGGCCGGCAGTTCCGATCCCCGGTGAAGAACACGCCGCCGGTCAGAGCCAGCCCCACGCTCCTCCGGAATGTCGGGGAGCACCAACCAACGGTTGAGAGCGCCAACGCAAAGGCGCAGATGAAGGTCGTAGGCGGCGACCGGAACGGCGGCGTGCGAGTGGGCGACAACCCGGGAAAGGAGGCGTGGGCGATCCGCAGCAGCGGGCAGCGTAAGAAGCCGGTGCCAACAACCCTGAGGGGAGAGCCGAGCCCTGCTAGTCGCAAGGCGGACTTCCGGCCGCCGGTCAGGGGAGGTAGCGCGTGGGGCGCAGGGGCAGGGAGCAACAACCAAAAGGTGGAGACAGCTTCAGCGGCGGAGCGAATAGCTAACTTCCGGCCGGGTACGAGGTTCCGCGTGGCGGTGGACAAAGGCGTGACTGGTCTCGGCATCACCGTCAAAGAGATTCGAGGGAGGTTCTTCGTGTACAAGCTGCAGAGCCTGGCTGACGGATCTCAAGGCGCAGCTGAGGTGATCTGAACACTCCGGCACGAGTTTGAATCGGTATCCATCCGAATGCCCGTCTTTCGTCTTGTTCTTTTCTGACGAGGTTCGTTCTGCTTCATATTTTTAGTCGTGGTGTTTTTTTTTGTCTGCCAGTGGGATCTTGCATGTTTCCGTAGAATAACCGTTTATAACCACGGGACGGATACCCAGCATGCACCTTGGTTCAGATGGCCTACTTAAGTATTACTGTAGCAGACTGTATTGGGAGCATCGTTCGTTCCGCCCTCGTCGCTACCGCTGTAATGCAAGTCCTATCCCGTCGCTACCGCTACCCAACGGCTCTATCAGGAGGCAGGCGTAAAGGCAGGAGATCAGCTGCTTGGTGTGGAGGAGCTTGACTTCGAGACGGAGAGATGGGATATGGACCAACTGGTGTCATACATGGGCGAGCTGATGGGCGTAGTGATTCTCCACGTGATGCGGGGCTTCGGACCGCTGCCCCAGGCGCCAAAGAGCGACCTCGAAAACGGCATGAGCTACGGAGTTGCTCGTTCCAACGAAGGAGACGGTGCCGCGGACGGCTCTGCGGGCACGGATGGCGGGAATGAAGGCGGGGTGAGTACGGTTCAGCGAAGAGCTCGGCGGCTGGTAGAGGTCCTGGAGGAAGAAGGTCTTTCGAAAACATCGGAGGCCGCGGATATCTCACGCTTGTACTGCCAAATCGACGACCGAGCGAAGCAGTGGGACACCGGAGAGCTCTGGCTTTCGGTCAACGACATGGCTCGCCGCCCTTCGAGAGATACCCTGGCTGTGATGGCGAACCAGTGGCACCCTGACCCGCCACCAGGCTGGGACGAGTTGGACAGCAGCGAGGGCCGGTCGCTGCCGAACAGCAGCGGAGCGCAGCGAGCAGAGAGGTCTTCAAGCGACATTAGCGACGACCCCCTCGTGCCGGACCCGGCAGCAACAAAACGCGACGGTTTCGGCGGGCAAGACGGAGATGAGCCCGGCATTGACCTAGACACGATCGGGGCGGCTCTCCTCGGACAGCCCCTCTTCAGCGACCCGTTGATGGAGGGGCGGGTGGACGAGGCGGGGGCGGCAGCGGGGGCGCGATCGTCCGTGGCGGGCGGCGATGACGAGGGCGGCGGGCACTACTGGTCCCCCTGGCCGCAGCTCGTAGCCCTCGAGAGCAAGGCCGCGCAGCGGACCACCGTCGTGCCCACGCAGGGCCTCCGGAAGGCCTTGAACGTCCGGATCTTGGAGCAACCGCCACCTGTACCGGCGGCGGCGGCGGCGGCGGTGGCGGGTAGCGACGACGCCAAAGGGGGGCGGTCCTCGGCCCCGCAGACCGTCTCGTACCTGGTATGGGTGATGGACGTCGAGAGCGGGGCGGAGTGGAGGGTGCGTCGGCGCCACCCTGAGTTCTCCGAGCTCTGGGAGGTTTGCACCGGGATGAGGCCGAGCCTGGCGCGGTTAGATTTCCCGCCGTGGCTGCCGGACGTGAAAGAGACCGCCGGGGTAGTGGAGGCCCGTAGACCGAGGTGCGTGTGTATGCATGGTGCTGGTGCCCACCGAAGGCGTGGCCTTTTATGCTTCGAGGCAGAGGGTACTTCGGTGTTTGGGAGTGGGGATGCGCCCGTGCCGTTGCCGACACGATCGCTCTGTTTTTTTGTTCACGCCATTCCGTGCGCAGTGTTTTTTTTCGTGAGGTTTTTTCGTTTCTCGTCCTTTTTTTCGAGGGGTCGACGTACTCTCAACTTCGGTAAGGCGTGTGTGTAGCTAAAACAGAATGTCAAGTTCCTTCTCTTGCTGGCGACGCAACAAAATAGAGTGCTTAAGTACGGTATGCCTCTTGGTCCGGTTAGACTCCGCCCTAAAGCGATATTTTGTACCTCAAAACAATACCAGTTTTCACGAACTCCTCTTACAACCGACCTCCCCTCTCTCGATACCCCAGTTAGACTCCGTCCCAAAGCGATATTTTGTACCTGAAAACAATACCAGTTTTCACGAACTCCTCTTACAACCGACCCCCCCTCTCTCGATACCGACGTCTCCCGTGCCGCCTTAGGCTGGAGGCGTATCTACAGCGGCTGTGCAGCCTCCTTTACATGGGACCGCTGCACCCCTCTTCGGCGCACTTGGCGCACCTGCTGCAGGACTTCCTCGGCACGAGCCCGCGCGTAGAGACGCTCGGGCGGCTGCAGAGGAGCAGGCCAGAGAGAGAGCTCCGGCAGGCCCTGCAGGTGATGGGGGAAAGGGCACGGGTACGGGGAAGTGTTTGCATTCCGTGCTGGGTGCTTGAGAGTCGTCGGCATTCCCTTTCGTCGTGTGTACGTCGAACGTACTTATCACTGAACCCGAAGAGTGCTTGGAGGTTTTGTTGTGCCGCCTGGCAACGCGTGTCTGTGTTTTTGCCGTAATTGTGTGGTACGTGCTTTTGTGGCCTGGGTGCACTCCCGTGTCAAGGGGAATGGGGACAGTACCTCCACGTCAAAAGGAACGGCCGGTATCGTTAGTCGACATCAGGACACGCGCCAAGCGCCCCCTTTAGCAGCAACCACCTCAGCGGGACGAACGAGGTTTCTCGTTAGCCCTCTCGCAGCGTTGACAGGCTGGTTATTGGCTCGATATCGCAGCTCTTATTCACTTGCTATTCCTTTATCGAACCCTTGTGCGTTTTGGTTGCACCTACCTGTTTATTCTTGACACGTTCGACAGGTTCGCGCGTGGCAGATGTTTCGACTCCCGCCGTTGGAGCGCGCGGTCGCCGGTTTCGTCCGGGAGATTTGCGACAGCCCTGCCTCACGAAGCAAGAAGAACGTACCGGCAGAAGCGGTCCTCAAGAGATTGACGGACGTCATCGAGCACCTTCAGTATGTGGTTACTGAGGGCTGCTTCAACGAGCTTCGCGAAATGGTGCGTGCGTCTTCGCCGGAGGCGGAACTCCGACCGAACCTTTCATGGTCTTACTCTTTCCTTGTCCTTTTTCGTGCCGCTTCGCAGATACACTGGTGCTCGGTCCTTCTCTCTTTTTCGAGCGAGCACTGAAGCACTGAACAGACTCGCGAAAGAAAGTACACGACGGATGTTCACTTCCAATTGTTTTTATCAAAACGGGGATATTGCTTCATCCAATTGTATTTTTTTTTTTTCGGTTTTGAGGAGGACAAGTCCGCTACGTGTTTGACGTGTCGTGTTTCATGATGTTTTTTTTTTTTTGTCTTGGGGTTTCCATCGAAAGGTTCGATCTTCCTCGGCGGCGACGGCATCGGTTGAACGGGGGCACAGCAGTGGGAGGGGGTCCGAGGGAAGGGAGGGGGGCGGCAATGATCACCCGGACCTGGCTAGCCTTGCAGAGGAGGACGAGGCGCTCGCCCTTATCTCCGGCAGCGTGCGGCGGCAGGTGGAGGCCGAGGTTTTCGTGCCGGTGATGGGAAGGTGAAAAAGTTACCGTTTCTCGTATTAATTCCTTGGATTTGTTCCTCGACGTCCCGTTGCAGACCTTGCGCGTTAAAGTTGGGGGTAGACTGATCGAGGCGCGCGTCGATTTCCATGGGCATTGAGTGCTGCGTTTCCAAACTCCGGCATTGTCATTTTGCGCTCGCCTAATCGGTGGGCCCCGACTTACCTTTTGAAAGCCTTCACATACATGATTGACTTGACTTGACTTCAACTCATGTAAACCGCCTCGCCCCTTTTTGTCGCGCAATGTATGGATCGATCGAAGGACGCACGTCCCCTCGAAAATGGCACTGCTCGAGGACGTTGCTGATCCTCGATAACACCGTGAGGTGGCGTTGGTGTGGCAAACTATTCCATGTAGTTCACCCGGACGTTGGTAGATTGGCTTTCTCAGGGGTCGACAGCTGTCATCTTTCTCTCACCGGAACCTTCGGACATGATGTTAAGTACGGCACGTACGTAAGATTGACCCCGCATTCGCGCACAACATATCTCGAAATAGGCAACCTTGTTACAGGACAGTTCGGACACACTCACGTTGGATGGTCGGGCCTTTTCCACCATTTCCATTCGCCTCGCTCTCTACGCGCGTACCGTGTGCGCTGATTTGATTGGTCTACGAATCATGACGAAAACCGAAGAATCTACAAGAAACTGCGAACTGAGGGCGCAACAGCCCGGCTGGAGAAGGCGGTCGTTCTCGGCGTGGAGGAAGCCAGGGGAAAGCCGCAAACCTACCACGGCGTCCCGACAAGCAACATATCTCCGAGCGGCTGGAGCAGTTCCATAAGGCTGCTGCAGACCGTGGGATTGTTCACGCTCCCGTGCGACAAGGTGAGAAATGCGGGCGCCCATGAGGCAGAGAAGCGCACATGGCTACCATGTGGTTTTCATGTGAGCGGAGGCGGATCGCCGCAGGGTGTACTGCTCCGGCGCCCCTGTTTCCCAGCTGAGCAGCGTAAACGCGCCGATCGCATTGGTTCTTCAGCTCTATCCTCGCCCTCATGATAAATCTTGGTCGGCAGTTCGTACGCTTTTTCGTGGTTAGGCCGCGCGTGGGGTAGCCACCCAGCTTTTGGTATGGATATCCCGAATGCTCAGGGGGGGGGGTGGGGTGTACTCATAGTTGTGCATTCCGTAGTCGTTAGACCACTGACCTCGCATCCCTACAAAGCCGGAATGGAACATGTCGGATTCTCACCGGATCAGGCTAGCATATCACCAAGCGCGAAGCGACGTGAGGTATTGGGCGAGTCGCATGGAGGGTGGGCTGCATCCTGCTTAAGGGTGTTCGGCATCTTGTGCTTACATGCTTGCATACGGGTGGCAGCTGCGAATGACTACCTTGAAATTCTAGTGCTTTCACTTCCAGAGACAGTTATGAGCACTACCTTTAACGGCGTCGAGGGTGCTTGATCAATATCACGCAACGTGGTGAAATCATTCCCTTTTCGCGGAGTGAGCGTTCTCGACCCTGCACAACATGATCGACTCGATCACCATCTTTCGGGGGGCGCGTGTTTGTTACCTCTTGGTTTAGTCTACTCGCTTGGACCACGGAGTTCACCCCAGTGAAAGAAATATGCAAATCTTGTGCGATAGCGGAGGCACACGACGTGTTGATTTCGATTTTATTCCGTTACTCCCTCTTTTCGACGCCGTGCTGCAGCTCGACGCTCTGATGGCGGTGGCTCACGATATCCCTGCTTTGCATCGAGCGGAACACCCCGGCGACAACGCCAGTAGCCTCGGTGCCGACGACTTCCTGCCAATTTTCATCTACGTTCTTGTCAACTCGAGGGTGGAGAATTTGGCGGCGCAGTCTGTCATCCTCGAGACTCTGTGCGACCCGAAGAAGATGATGGGGGAAGCAGGTGGGTTAAGTGTACTTTTTTGGCGTGAAAGGTCGTAGACGAGTCGAGCACTCAAGTCCTGCCCTTTGGTGGAAGCGTGCCTGGTACGTGTGTGTTGAGCATTGCCAGAAGCTCTTTTGCGCTCGAACATGGATTGAGCAAACGAGGTGGGGGTGTGTTTTGACCTTTGTCCATGGGTGTGGGTGTGCGTTTTTACCAACGCGATGTCTACGTCTGGGCCGCCTCTCCTCCTCCCATATTGACCTCCTCTCGCCCGCACCCCCCACCGCCACTTGCCTTGCCTGTGTCCCCCTTGGTGTTGGCGGCTCCGTTGGGGTTTCCTTGTCGACACAGGCTTTTGTGTTGCAACGTTCTCGGCGGCGTTACAGCACCTTAGCCGCCAGGCTGAGGAAAGATCGCGAAGCAGGACATTCTCGAGCTTTCTCGGACGACGGTAGATGAAATAGTGTCCTCCGCTTGGCTGCATCAGCGTCGCGGTGGTTTTGTGATGGTGTGTGTTTTGCGTGTTTTCGAGACCTGCGCCTTGGCGTTGTGTTGTGGATATTGTGGTAGCTGGAGGCTGGACGAGCGCTGCTGAGCAAGAACAGCAGTGTTTGTACCCTTTTCGTGGAACGCTAGTCTAGAGCTTGGCTCAGTTTTCGGCCCTGTATTTTGCGCGCTGCCTGCGACGACTTCGGCTCGTAGCAAGAGTAACGGTGACGTGTGTTTGCTTGGGGTATCGTGTTACGGAAGTAGTTTTGTTGGTGCTCTGCCTTGAAAAAGTTAACCTCGTATGTTGATATCTACAGCTGTGCCGGTTTGGTTAGAGTGAGCCTTCTGTGTGCGGCTATGTAGTCGAGATTTTGAATGTACAGCGGAAGAAGATACCGGTCTAATACATGCTTCGTAGCACTGCTGATGTACGGTGCGTTACAACCGCTCATGGAGGACGGTTGTCGATTTTGGTGCATGTCGTAATCTGTACGCGCCGGGATCCCAGGTGCCGTGCGATATTCATCATGTGTCGCTGTGCTTTGATCACACCCGGGTCTACGAGATCGCACCTTCATTTATGCCCGTCATCTAACTCTGGGTTCGTCGAACAGCAGGGCACACGAAGTTGCGTTGAAGTTACAAACTGGGCCACGCGATGGTGATCATGGGAAGTTTCTCTGTCAGGTGTATCGAAATGCAACTCGAATACGTGCAGTGCACCGCAACAACAGCGTAGTGGAAGCGGCAGGACGTGGTGTGAAAGCGGAGGAATTACTATTGTACTGCTGTTCCTCCCGAGCATTCTTCGCTCCAAGAAAATTTCTGCGCGTCACCATACCAACAGAAGAGAAATACACGTTGCTTTCCTGGCGCGCGCATGTCGAACACAGCACATGCGACGCTTGCTCTCTCTGCCAACCCCAGGCACAGATCGGCATGAGTGACCACCCCAGCACCGCGCCCGCCGGGGAGAAGGTTGGTCTCGCTAAGAAGCTCGCGAACGCCGTACTGTTGTCTACGGGGATAGGTCTGTGTTCGATTCTGGCACTCTATGTTGCCTTGATGCTGAACGACGTGCCAGAGTGGGGGGCAATGACTAAGGAGGTCATGATTGAGACAGAGATGAAAAACATCAACAGGCTCGCCCTCGCCAAGGCTGAACACACAGGCGAGATTTACGCTCGGGTAAAGGAGAGCCTCCTGCTGCTCCAAGCCGTGGGAGAACAGATCCTCTTGACGGAGCCTGAGACGGTGGTGGTCGATGACTACGTCAAGAGCTACTCAGGCCTTCAACAGCAAGCGGTGGACGACTGGAACCACAGCACTTGGTGAGGCCCGTCCTATGCATATGTGTGTAGATTACGACAATAATCGAACCGCTTCAACACACCGTTGAGTTGAGCAAGCATTCTTGCTTGGCCCTTGTTTGGCCAAGCAAGAATCCAGCAATACGCATCGTATTGACCGATCGTGTACCATGGCAGCGTGTTTTTATGCAAAGTCTGTGAGCTAGAGGTAGACTACAACTTTGTGTTTTTTGTGCGAGAAAATCAGGACATGAGCTCGGGGAACAAGATGAAAACTTGCACTTCGTTCTCTTCTGTAGGGCCCTTTGCCTATGCATTATGCAATATGTGCACCACCGGTCGCCCCGGTGGTCTAGTGGTATGCTCGTAATCCGCTAGCCGCAGAGGTCGGGAGATCGAATCCAAATGGGGTAAAAACTTTACGAATGTGCGGGTGAAAGCGAAATAGTCTATAGCTGACAAGCTCTCGTGAGAGAGTATGTGTGTTTTTATTATTAGCATCGATCGCGCTAACCGGCTGACCAATTAAAAGACGTCAGTGCCAGCGGATAAAAATCAAGGTCTCAAGGTGGAACGGGGCCAAAATTCGAGAAATGCGCAATGCGCTAGATGCGAATGCCAATACGACTCTCTCTACATGTTCTTTCACGTAGACACACATCTCAGCTACACAAATGCCCTCGCTCGAATCTAGGAAGCCACTGATGCAAAGGGCGGAGGACAGCAAAAGGGTTATTTCAAGCCCAGCCGAAGCCAGGATATCGTGGTATGCTGCATCTCCCAATTTGATAATCGTACACTCCCAAGATCCAACAGTCATCGTGTCAGCAGCTAGATTACTCAAACAAAATAGCAACACATACACGGCCATAGCTCCACACATGCCCTCGTCCGAACCTAGGAAGCCATCATGCAAAGAGCGGAGGACAGCAAAAGGGTTATTTCAAGCCCAGCCGAAGCCAGGATATCGTGGTATGCTGCATCTCCCAATTTGATAATCGTACACTCCCAAGATCCAACAGTCATCGTGTCAGCAGCTAGATTACTCAAACAAAATAGCAACACATACACGGCCATAGCTCCACACATGCCCTCGCCCGAACCTAGGAAGCCACTGATGCAAAGAGCGGAGGACAGCAAAAGGGTTATTTCAAGCCCAGCCGAAGCCAGGATATCGTGGAATGCTGCATCTCCCAATTTGATTATCGTACACTCCCAAGATCCACCAGTCATCGTGTCAGCAGCTAGATGACTCAAAACAAATTAGCATTACATACACTGCCATAGCTCCACACATGCCCTCGCCCGAACCTAGGAAGCCACTGATGCAAAGAGCGGAGGACAGCAAAATGGTTATTTCAAACCCAGCCGAAGTGTGTGTGTTTTCGTCCTGGTCAAGTACACTTCCAAGTATTTATTCAAGGCGACAGTCCCCCATTATTCGTGGTGAGACTTGTACTACACTCCTTCAGCGTATGTAGCGTATTTTTCGTGGTGAGACGTGTACTACCTACACTCTTTCAGCGTATGTAGAGTACTAGCTACACTCTTCAGTGTACTTTTTCGTACAACTACAACCATCCAGGGTCACACAGGAGGGGGGTAAACACCAGGTTTTTTTTTCTTCATTTTTATTTATTTTCATGCCCCACCTTCCTCCTGCGGTGCGTGCTGAATTTTAATATTATCGCGGGAAAGGGTCCAGCCGTCCCTTTCCCTCGTCAACGGTGCGAACGTCGAAGGTTGGTACTCACGAGAGCTTTTCAGCAAGTTTCGCTTTCANTTTTTTTTTCTTCATTTTTATTTATTTTCATGCCCCACCTTCCTCCTGCGGTGCGTGCTGAATTTTAATATTATCGCGGGAAAGGGTCCAGCCGTCCCTTTCCCTCGTCAACGGTGCGAACGTCGAAGGTTGGTACTCACGAGAGCTTTTCAGCAAGTTTCGCTTTCACCCGCAAAGTTTGCAAATTTTTCACCCCCGTAGGGATTCGAACTCACGACGTCTGCAACTAGCGGATTTTGAGGATACCACTAGACCACCGGGGCGACCGGGGTACCAAATTTCGACGTTAGCACCGTTGACGAGGGAAAGGGACGGCTGGACCCTCCTCGCGATAAAAATAAAATTCAGCACGCACCGCAGGAGGCAGGTGGGGCATGAAAATAATTAAAAATAAGAAACAAGCCCTGGTGTTTACCCCCTCCTGGGTGACCCTGGATGGTTGTAGTTGTACGAAAAACTACACTGAAAAGTGTAGTACGTGTCTCACCACGAAAAATGGGGGACTGTCGCTATAATAATTAGGACGAAAACAACAACAGCAGTATTTTCACCTGTCATGGCCATACACCGCCGTGTGACAGGGGAATTATCGCTGTATGCTGCTCGGGCAGTCGTAGAAACGCAGGTGGTGCGTCCGCTGATAACGCTATGGATGCATTGCTAACATATCTCCCTCCGACTCTTATTCATCGAGATGAAAAATCGTGTTGTGTTTTCGTAACGAAAACACGACGAATTTGTACACATAGACTAGACTACGTTGCTTCGGTAGTCACTCGTCTGGGATAAACTGAGTGTGGCATTACCTCGAACGGGTACATAGTATTCAGTCGTTGCGTGTTGTATTTTCTGGTATCAAAGAGCAATGAACTCGCAGCGTTAGCGGATACACGTACCTGGTGTTTCTACGATTGATTCCCCTATTTCGCAGCATTCAGTATTCGTGGTCCCGACATAAGGCATGTACATGTTGGGGCAAAGGGCAAAATATGCCACTACCCCTTGTGGGTAACAGACTCAGCACGATTATGCACACATGCTTTTATTGAAGGAGTCAAGGTGTCCTCTAAACGTTCCTGAGATCTGGATCTGACCACTTCATCTCACTGTAGGTAACTACACACCGTGACCGCAAGAAAACGACACCCACAGTCAATGTTTCGTTTGATGCTGTTGTTGTTTAGTTGTTGGTTGTGGCTTCTAAAGGTGCCGTGGGAGCCTCCTTCATCTGTAGATCTATTCCTGAAAACTCGTTCTGGATGCGTGTCTTGGAGGAGAAAGTATCGACCCAATAATTTCTCCATCCTACGACAGCATTAGACTACGTTGTAGATCGACCACACAGACTACGCTATGTCAGAGGACCTCAAGAGGACCTCTGGCTACTACATACCTCCTGGGAATAACGTGTTGGCAATATGAATGGAAACAAGGCCTCATATGTTGATCTTGTAATTGTAGGGTCTGTCTGTGCACAAACGGGGAAGGCAAGAGAACACCTGGTTGACCATATCGCTGGTCAGCTCAATGCTGTATGCGACCAAAGACTACACACCCCGGCGACATTTTTTTTGCTTCTAATAAGACAACGATCACCGGGTTATAATGTTTGGTAGCGTGGGGTGTGTAGAATCTCATGTTGCCCCATTGTTCTGGGCTCTTGTTGACTAGAGGTAAAGTATTCCACCGGGGCTACCGGGTGTTTCTCTGTGGATGTGATGTCGGCATCCTGTACGTTAGGTACGTACAGACAGCAGGAGCCTACGACTACCGTTTGTTGGTGCGGGTTATGCTTTTCGACGCGTCGTGACCCGGTAAACAACGATACTTGAGTGTCGGTCGGGATCACACAACATGTCTCCCCATCGCGGAGGTTCCAGTGAAGCTACGTTCGCTAAGGTGCCCCTGCAGCTAGCTATCGAATAGTTGCCGCGTATTCTTACCATGCGTAGTACTCCTCCGTGCGATTGATCAACTTCCCGGTGAACGCCCCCATATCTCGCGCTCTTGTCTGGCTCTTTCTTCGACGATCAAACAACCTGTAGGTTCATCACCGGCTTCAATTCCAGCACAGACTTGCCGGCCGCCGGCAGCTCGCTTGATGGTCTCCTCAATCGAACCGCTCTGATGGACGTTCCTTTCCGAGGGATGCAAAGGCAGCAGTCGCTGGCATATCTGGCCTCCTTGGACAACCCTTCACTGCCGGACGACCCAGATGAATCCGCCATCTTCCAAGCCTATCCTGCTTTCGACATGTTGGAAGCAGGGTTACCTACGTACAATAACCAGGTCTATTTGTGGGAATGGTGGTTCATGTTGTGCTTTCGTAGGAAACGAAGAAGGACCAATTCTTCGCGAAGGTCGAAAGTGTGTGCTGAACGTTTGGCAGCAGGGTACCTCCTG